TGCTGTAGCTTGATTTATCATTTGAAGTCCCCACGACAAAAAATTCAGGATTTAAAGGAAGCGATTACGATAAAGAGGGAGCGCATCGGGGAAGCATGTGCACCACCGAATCAGTTACTTGGCTGCCAGGAAGCGAGGTGTGGCGCTTTCACAACGAAAGGTGCGCTGGTTGCTGAGCAGGACTTCGAAAGCGCTCCGCCCCCAAAAGCGATCCGCCCACTAGTTTACTTGTTGATTTGGACGAGCTGCGTTGCCAGCAGCGGCGCAAATGGAGCATCTCGATTAAAGCGTGGTTTGGCATGGTGCCATCAAACGCGTTGCGGTGAACTCGTTCATACGTCCACTTTCTGAGCTGTTACCTGTTCATGAGTGAAAACCAACGGAAAAAGGGGGTCCCGTTTTGCGTTTTCTTGACGGATTTTTCTGCTTTTTTCGCACTGGCGTACCATTGAGCACCACCACGTCACAACCCTTCTTGAATATCGTAATCGCTGCCTTCAAGGGTGTTTGTTTTTTTTCTTCGATGAGAATGAAAATGGCAAAAGTCAAAAGAAGTTTCTGAAGAACATTCCATATGGCACTCTATCAGAAGCATAGAAGAGATAAGGATAAATAAAGCATTTGCCGTTGATCAATCCCTTTTTGGGATGCGGCACGCATTCTACTTCCATTTGTACATTCGTAGTGGCGTTTGAATGCGATGTGGCCTATACAATGACTTGCGGGGGCCAGCCGATGTACAGTCAGTGTTTTTATCCTCCCAGACAAGTCTGGTACCAATTAACCGACCCCGGAGGGATGGAAGGCTTGGTTGGCCCGGGCGACTCACGACCCAGGATTTGATCCCGGACCGCTCGCGTGGTAAGCGTGCCACTTGCCACTACACCACTTCCGCCCATAGAGACAAAGCATGCAATTCAGTTGAGATGCTGCATAATCCTTAGAGGCATTCAGGCGCAATAGAAATCTGATAACAAGGTCCAGCTACGAAAAAGCAGGTCTGGGTGACCTACTAGAGAGGAGTAAAAGAAAAGGCATCCCTCCCCTCTCTCCCGAAAACCCTTTAAAAAAGCAATATTCTTCTGGTCCATGAACGAGAAGGAAGGGCAGGAATGTAAGCAATGTGGTGCCGAAGCAAGTGAATAGGCTCAAGGATCCAAGTGGAACGGGAGAACTACTCACATGTCCTTAGTGGCCTTGTCACTCGTTTTAAGTTACAAAAATGGCACAACTCGGCGACTACGAAGCATAGTACCTCACTGACTGGAAAGATTATTTGAAGAATTGAAATCGCGGGAAGAGCCTTTAAGGGAAAGGATGTTGTGATTACCCGATTAGAGGCAACCTTCAAGACGCAGTATGAAAATGAAAGATCAGAGTTGGAAATGCCATCGAAGATCGTTTGCGAACAAAAGACATTAGCGTAGCACCCGGTCGCGGAGATAACGCCAGTCACAGCTTCCTACTATAAATTTTTTCGCATCCGTTTCGAGGTTTTGATAACGAACTCCGCATGTGGACCGATTAGCCCCGCCGGCGAAGGACCTGCGGAATTATGGCATTTTTGTCTTAAAGTAGTTACCGTACAGAGAAACTATAAGCAAATGGTGCAGTGAACAGTGGCTGGCTCCCACAAACAACGTCGCTTCATTTTTGGTTGCTGCCCTGAACAGCAGGGGCGGCGTCGTTGACCGCTCTCACACTAGTGCTGGCATTGTGCACTGGAAAGCCTGCAACCGCGCTCTGACGCAAACGTGGGTTACGGTATACATCCTATGTTCCTTAACTTATAATCTTGTTTCCCACGGGCCCTCACTAGCCACCATTTGTTTATAGTAGTTACGACCCATTCTACCTTATACAAAACATATACTAGGATTATGTCAAAGACACGGGTCGCGATCGAGGTTTTGGTATGTTATTCTGCACAATGCTGCGAGTAGAGGGCGTAGTAGGAGAGGGCACAGACACTGCGTATTTTGCGAACAAGTAAAAATGGAGCGAGCGTCCTTGTTGGGCATTTTCAAGATACGACGGTGCTACAACCCTGTGCTTAGGGTCCCTGCTACCTCGCTCAGGGAGGGTATTTCTCTGTGGATCCGTTCGGGATGCCTCCCATTAAACCACTTGTATGGAATGTGAATAGAGAATGTTTCTATAGTGCTTTTCTTTCGCGAGACAAAGGTCAGTGATCCCAGAATCACTTCACGAGAACATGGAGGCTAGCCCATGTAGTGTAAGATGGATTCGTGGCTGCGACGTGGGAGTAACCCTTTCAAACTGTGCTGGAGACAAGTAGACAGGAAGGTTTATTTAGATCAGAAAAACCAACAATAAATATACAAACAACAAAGATCACGGGGCGATCGGAGGCGGGTTGTATCGATGGGACCGGACCACCGAGCCGAGGTCGGCAACCAGGTGCACGGCGCAATCCCTTCTCTGCGATGAGCCACGAAAGCTCTTTCCTCTGAGCCACTGAGGCTCTTCCCAACAGGCCACTAAGGCCAATTCACCGAGCCACTAAGGCTCCTCTCCTCAGGCCACTGAGGCCAAACCACTGAGCCACTCATCATAGTTACCATTGTCTCCGCGTTTCTGACACTTGCATTTCGTTGGTTGTTGGTTCACAGTTTCGATGAGGGCTGTTTTAAAATGTCAGTTCAGGCAGAGTAAACCTGGTAATATTTGCATGTGACTAGAGAGGATCACTGCTCTCGCTCTTCCCTTTCCCCTACTCGAAAGTGTAAAGCAGTATAAACAGAAAACAGGGTCCAAACGCTTGTGGAAGTCGCAGCCCTGAGCATCCTTTCAGTGCAGCTCAACGAAGCTTCAAACAAGGAGACAATTGCACCATTTACGGAAACGATTGTTGGAAGGTGATTTGTGACTTAATTTGAATTTTGATTTTTGAATACTTTGAATGTTTGTGGCCGTCCTCTACAACTGAGTGGACTTAAAGGCAAACTCCGGAATTAAACTGGTACTAAGAGCGCTCGTAGTGATAGCTTCAGCGAGCTGCGGAGCGACCCAAAGTGGAGAGGGAAAGCGAGAGAAACTCTTTGGGAACGCTGAAATTAAGGCCTTAACCTTCAAAAAGGTCGGATGTGGTACGATGGCGAGACAGGGCGATCAGAGAGGTCAAAACACGCGAGAGAGAACGTCGTTTGAGAGAGCACGCTGATCTCTACATCAATGCACGCTGATCTCACCACATCTCGCGGTGGGTGGGAAGCGTTCGATGGTTGGAGGCCCGTAAGGATTAGCGCCCTAACCGCGCGATTTTCGCGACCAAGTTGAAGTGATCTAGGTAGGTACGGGTCTTACAATTTTCCTCGCGGTTATCTCTAGGGCGGAAGTGGTGTAGTGACAAGTGGCGCGCTTCACCACGCGAGCGGTCCGGGATCAAATCCTGGGTCGTGAGTCGCCCGGGCCAACCAAGCCTTCCATCCCTCCGGGGTCGGTTAATTGGTACCAGACTTGTCTGGGAGGATAAAAACACTGACTTGAACATCGGCTGGCCCCCGCAAGTCATTGTATAGGCCACATCGCATTCAAACGCCACTGCGAATGTACAAATGGAAGTAGAATGCGTGCCGCATCCCAAAAAGGGATTGATCAACGGCAAATGCTTTATCCTTTTTATCCTTTTATCCTTCACTAGTCCGGGTAATTCCCGAGTTTACCTTTGAATCATGTTTTCTTTTTTTTTTTTTTTTTTTTTTTTTTTTTTTTTTTTTTTTTTTTTTTTTTTTTTTTTTTTTTTTTTTTTTTTTTTTGGCGCGTCCAATCCAGAACAGAACAACAATCAGGTGGTTCAATCCGACTTTAGAACAGAACAACAACCATCAATTATTCATTTTATTGAATATTTATTTGCATCAACAACCATGGAGTTTAGTGCAGACGTCCTTGGGCTCAGTGCCCGACTCGAGCTCGTGAATGATAGGATCCAAATGCTCGTTGATGTATTTCTCGCATTCATTGTGCTCTATGGGAATTTTCAGCTCCTTTTTGCATTCATTGTCGAATTTCTGTAACATCAAGCATTTACATTCAGGTCTGTAAGAACACAAAGGAGTGCTGTCTAGATTGGACGTGATCGCAGGCTAAAAAGTCACATAGCGGACGTTTTGTGATCACGAATCAGCTGGCACAAATATTCCAGTACTCAGCACCGAAATGACCCCTGGGACTTTTACAAAAAACACTAGTCCCAAGAAAAGCCAAGCGCTTCGAGAAAGAAACTTCTTTTTCCAAGGGTTATTTCCAATTTTGAACAGGTTCGCTTTTGCCACCGAGGTCTTTATCGACTAATCCAGGTCCACTACATATATACAATAGGTTGCGACAGGCCGCCAGCCTTCACGCCACTCTTTTGGTTAGCATTCTGGTCGACCTCTGGCATGTACTAAGGAAAGCGAGGTTGTTGGTCGTGTAAAGAGAGACCCGAAGGTCTTCGTCGAACATGGAGACAGCAGTGAAGGCAAATGAGGGGAGGAAGGCTGGCTATCGGCCAAACCTCAGGTATTTTCGATTTGGTAAGGTCGACAAGTTCAAAGGTCTCAAATTGTCAATTTCATGTCCGGGCAAGGTGATTTCATTCCAAGCAAGGCCAACCGATGTGTGGCATATTTCAGAAGTATTACCTTTACCTCTTACAATGGGTGACCAGCCTGATTTTACGTGCTGCTGACACACTACCCTCCCCACTCCCTCAGGAAAATTTCCATTAGTCCGTCGAGGGGCTGTAAGAATATCTTCAATAGCTGTTGAAAAACAAAGGTGGTGTGGTGGCCAGTGGTCCCCTGGAGGGCTTGGTTAGTCTCGCGAGCTGCAATCCCAGATTTGACTCCGGGGTGACCAATCTGGGGTTGCAGCTCGCGAGACTAACCGAGCCTACGACATACCGCATCCAAAATACCGGACCTATTATGAATGGAAGTAAAATGCGTGGCGCATTGCAAAAGGGGATTGATTAACGCTAAACACTTAACTTTGATCCTTTTATAGTTGTAGAAACGGGACCGAAAATTGCGTAGCGAAGCCTTTCGGAATTTCTCAGAATTTCCCCAGAAATTGTTCTTTTCCATGTCTGTGGAAAATTGGAAAGATCCTTCCGAATTCGGCCTCTCATGTCTGTCACATGCAATCTCCCTCATGGATTTGCCCAAACAGACGGTTGAGGCAGTTCCCAGACTCCATCGTTGCACTTTCACCAGTCCAGGGACTGGAACTATATTCCTAGACATTCATCTCTGACCATCTCTTCACTCGGTTACATAGTGCCATTGTCGCACGACTGTGCTGCCGCGTTGTAGCTCGAAGAGAGAGAGAGAGAGAGAGAGAAAGAAAGGTGAGAGAAGAGAAGGAAGATGCTAATAGAAAAAAGATACTGTCACATAATTTACCTGCTCGATTTCCACTGTTTCCTTTCCAAGCATTGGTGCAGTTTCACGAACCGCTAATTTGCACATAACGCACTCGGCGACATTTCCTTGTGATCGCGGAATCACGAGAGCCAAGCAAGAAGTGGCGACGACAGCCAGGATGAACAAAGTGCGCATACTGGAATGTAAGTCTGTAGATATCGGAAGACTTCACAAAGGACAAGAAACGGAGAATGGGGAAAATCAATCAATAATATTTAATATGGAAGAAATTCTGAAATTGCTCGGCTAGAGAAAGTATATGAAACTGGACAAGAAGGTGTTGGGCTCCGAGCACGTAAGAGCCGCATTCGCCTTGTTTGCCCGTATTCTCCCTTTCCAACCCATGGCCACCACGCTCTCACCATTGTTATGTTGTGTATCCCACAGGTAAGGAGCTAAAGGGCAATAAGGGCTCAGAATTACATACCCTTTTGATGTTGGTCAGTCCCCAACACATGCTAAATGAGCTTAGTTAGCATAAACTGCAACAGAAGCAGTTATGACTTCGAAACCTTTCGAAGGCCAGCTTCGATGCGTTTTTTTCTGCCAACAAGGCTTTAGGTGGAAGCTCTACTAATGTTGAAAGCCGGTAGTCTGGGCCTTTGAGTAAGGATATTTCGGAACTTTGGGCTATAAAAGCAGAGTTCGTGTTAAAAAGATATGACCATAGAATTACCGTGTATGTGCTGTGCGAGCTTCGTCAACGAAACCCGCATTGTCTAGCACCACTAGTGGCTTGCCTGCCCTTTTTGCCAAGTGTATTTTCCCTTCTTGAATCTCCACCTTCATGGTGGAATTTTCCTCTAAGAAATTGTCTGACTCGTAAGTACTCGTGCAGGTTAGAGCGCATCGAATGCTTCTGTTAAAGGTTGCCAGAGAAACAAATGGAGAAAATTTTTCAAAAACACCTTCTTTTTCTCAACCAGCAAAATTCATTCTGAGGAAAAAGAAGTGATGTGGAATGGGATGTGGGTATGCTTTGACGGAATATAATCATGTATAAAATGAATACAATCTATCTCAAGAAGGCTACACTAGAGGGCAAGCCTGAGATCGTCAAATTAGGAATGAGAGATGGCAGCAAAAGAATCTCAGAAAAGTCAAGGAAGTTAGCACAAAAGAATTCGTGGAGCTCTTCACCTTGTGGAGTTCGCTTACTGACGCACCAAGTTTCCTGGTATAGCTTATCGGTGCCTATGAAGCTTTTTCGCAATGAATGTTCGATCGTTGATTCACCTTAAAGCAGGGGTTATTCAACAAGACGACACAGAAGTTCTACTAACACGCTCGAAACAAAGCAATTCGTTATTCTCATGAAGGTGTCCAGTTCTTAGGAAAATCTTCTGCTATTAACGAGACCTAAATCCACGCCTGTCTCTTTAGCACGCTTGTCATTCAGCTCTAGAAATTATGCTTCCTTTTTCCGATTTCCTGATGTCGCCATTAGAGCCTATCGAACTCCGAACATTTAACTTCACGATGCTCGAAGTAGCACGGAGAAGTCGAGGCTGTCTGTTAAATCTTCCACGTCAGGGGTATAAGCTATCCACAAGAACTGAGTTGCAGGGAAAAAACAGGGGGGGACATTTTTCGAATTTTGTTGCGAATCGGTTTTGTGTAAAAGTTTGAAGTGGCGACTCGCAAGACACGAGCTTCGAGCTCAGGTACTGTACTGCCATGCTATTCCCTTGTCGCCTTTTCCAAGTTTTCTTGGCAGCTTTCCTGCGCTGACCAGAAAGCCCAGATATCTATCTCAAGACTTCTGAATGCATTGAAATGGATGTTCGTAGGTTTTGTTAGATTAACGACCTTTTGGAATTTTCCAGTTACCGCTTCATAAGTGAGTAGTTTATCGTCATAAGTCGAACTAGGCTAATTTGGCACATGCCATTTGCATCTCGATATCTTCCCATACCGACCGCAGAACTCGGGCGAGAATTTGTGCGCCATTTTTGAATAATTTCGTAGGGTTGACAACAATAGTAATGACACTTTTGAGCACGTTTTGTTGCTGTAACTGCGGTCTCAGCTGGTAGTTCTGGGACAGAACCTATTTTTGCAATTTTTACAGGGCAGGGTTTTTGGGTATTGCCTAAGTAGGGTCAGAACTCGCGGTAGCAAGAGTGCAGATATGAACCTGGAATCTCAAACGCTCGGCTATTCGTGTTTAATGCTGTGTGGCAAATAAAGGCGGGATCAGATCAGGAAATCAAGCTTCATCATGTAAGGCATGCCTTTCCGCCGCACATTCCAAGAATTTTGGTTTTTTTAATGTTCGAGGGTGAGGCTGCTCAGCAAAATTACACCTGGAACTACAGCTCTGAAATCGGATCCTTTTCAGCTAAGTGCTAACAGCTCTGCTTTGTGAAAACGACTCCTGCAGCTTTCAAGATCACTGATTAAGATTTATTGCTATTTCAGTTAGGGACGGCACAGAGGGCCTCGTCTTCAATGCAAGTGCAGCCGGTGCACATGCAGTCAGCGTTCGTTCTGCACGGATCTCCTGTGGCATAAATTTGGCCTCCCACAAAGTTTCCGCTGAAACTCAACATCTTTGAAAAAAAACTCACTTGGGGAAGATATTATTTTCTAAAATAACACTTACCTCCATTTAATCCCTCCCTTGTGAGTCCAATGGTATAGTTTCCCACGCAGAAACGTGAACCGTAATCGAGTTTTCACAAAAAGACGAAAGGAGCGGATCCGGGTCATTCGCGGCTTTTCCGAAGT